TCAGACCCGTCTGAGCATGCCCAGTTCATGTCCAACTGAGTTTGCTCAGGGCGAGTGTGCCAGTGTGTTGGTGCCACACAGCCGCCTGGATTTTGTGTTGGAGAAGAAACCTGCATGCAGTTCACCGTTTGATAACCCCCCCTGCCCAAGCAGCGATTGTCTGAGCTTAGCAATCGTAACAAGCTTTGAATTTAAAGCGGTGTGCATGCAGCTGTAGTAAAAGGGATAGTCTATACTCACTATTTAAAGAATTTGGAGATCTTTTTGTAGCTTTTCCAAACACAGGAGAAAAAGTGCACAGAATGACTTAAAACAAGCTACAAATGTTAGCATGTATGGCTAGCTTACAAGTAGTATTACTTCCAAGGCCAAACAGTGCATCATAAAACATCATTAGTCTGTGGAGTCAACGTTACAGGTCATGTAATTATAAAAAAGCATTGTTCACAGCAGTGTATCACTCTGTGGATGCTATCCGAGTCTAACGTCAGTTCCTCATTTTAAAGTAATTTATTCTCTTGTTATGTTAAAAGTAAAAACATACTAATTTAAAATACAAAAAAAACATGTAAGCTAAACAGCTAAAAAAGGGTTGTGTGAGAACAAAATAGCAGTCGGATTTGACATTTTTCTCCATCATAATTAATGCTAGGACTAAAAAAAGCTAGCCTGGGAAATTAGCCTCAGTGTCTTGGCATGTAGCCTTTAACAGGATAACGACCTTTATTCATGATAATATTTACATTTTAAAACGACTCACATGGACACATTAAAAAGTCAGCAGTGTTTTTAACCTTTCATTTAATGTTAGCTTAATCAGGCGATGACATCTGCCAATGTTATTTTGGCAGAATCGCCAGTTTGCTGAAATGTGAAACTGCATTTATCTACTATAATCAAGACGTCCGGGTTGTAATTCTGCCACTGTTATTGTGTGTAAGTACCATGCAAAAACATGTGTGTTTGTTGTTCTCTGCATATTGCATATCATAATATCCTTTTTGCTGGATTTAAAGAAACACCTTGCATGCAGACCGCACACTGCATTTTCAAACGGAGCGATGCTTGGGCTGTGCCCTCCCGTGCCTACTGAACTGGTATCAGTGTTTTACCTAAAAACTGGCTCAGTTCAGCAGGAACAGGAGTGGAGTCCACTAACACAATCAGGATCGACACAGTATGTCCCATGTTTGATGCATAAAGAGAACTGGATTCAGCGTTGGAGGCGAGGCCCTGTTCAATCAAGTTGCTCTGTGGCGCAGGAAGCAAAAAGAGTTTGACTTCAGGGTATAAAATTACCCAGATCTTCTGCATCCATTTGGGCCCTGAGAGCAAGTGCTCTAGCATTTCCTTTAACCCCGCCTCCCAGCTGCTCGGTTGCAGGTTCATTCATGTGAGCGGAGGAAGGAGAATAACCCTTTTATCTTTTTATCCGCTGATTTTCCCAATGTAACGCTTTAGGAAAAAAGAACCCGGACGTTGTATTTCCACGGTTTAGCCACAATGTAAATTTAGTTTTTAAGCACAGCACGTTTTCCTGGAGCTTGTAACCGTTACCAACGTCCACTAAACATGCAGCAAAACAGCCCCAGCCCAGATTCATCACTTTGCAGTGCTCTTGTGTTTAGCTGACCTCAACCACCACAGAGCGGTGTAGTGAGTTTGCCTCAAGTCATTGGCCTTGATGAAAATCAAACCCGAGCCCTCCAACCTGTCAGACGACGGCACTGAACCCTGAAGTGTATGCAAGGGCGGCGCGGCTCGAGTTTCAGATGGCTGTCCCTTTCTTTGCTAAAATATGAATGTTTCATGAGCAGATTTACCATTTTTTGTGTGAATACTGTTACATACTGATGCCCGTCGATTTGGTGTTGTGCTCAGCCCTCATGTTTATTTTAGCATTCTTCCCTTGAAAAAGCTGCAAACTCGTCTCACCTAACTCAAAAAAGGGGATTCCTGACAATTCAATTTTAGAAGATATTATGTCTAAATATTAGATATACCAAATCAAATGGCTTAATGGCTTTTAACAAGACACCATCACAGTCCTGTATTCGTACATTTCCTAGTTTTGATTCATTATGTCACAATTCCGACGATAAAACTCGTACTTTTGACAAACCATGAGTGTTTTAGTTATCATTCTTTGAATCCTTGAATACATTTTATGCTTCAAATATTGCTTGGGTCTTTTGTTGCTTTTCTATTTTTCCTGACTAGAGAATTGTAATAGAGTTTAATATCCATCAGAAGTTAGTCAAAATTTTGTTTTCAATTGGTCCTTTTAAGTGTATGTATATATATATATGTAATTATAATTATTATATAATATTATATTTATATAATTATTGGCGTCGCACTGAATGTCTAAACCTTGTCTTAAGAATAACATTTGACATTTTATGTTATTTTGCTAACATAATACGCCAAACTAGAGGTGTGCGTGTGTGTGTTTGTGTGTTCAGGTCTGTTTGTGTGGCAGATTTGGCCCCGCCTTAGGGGCTGCCCTTGTGGGACATTAGCAACTGTATGCTTGAAGATGGACAAATTCTAATTTCTCCAGAGGAAGAGGTACCAACACACACTCACCAACTCCCCAGTTCACTAAAATTCATTACATCTGCAGCACAAAAGGTGTAAGCAGTCAAGTGATTTTTGTGTGGGTGTGGGTGTGTGCGTGTGTGTGTGTGGGTGTGTGTGTGAGTCTTTCTCAGCCAACGATGTGGACTCGAAACCGAGTCAGCAGCTGCAGCAACTATAGAGAATGAAGAATCTACTTAGTTTACCTTAAGTTGCTTGAGTAAATTAAATATTTTGTTCTGATTCAGGTTTGGAGAGAAGGAGTACATGAGCTTTATGAACAAATTCCTGCAGCAGCACTGGGATGGAATGAGATAAATCCCAATGTCCTCCTTTGGTGGCTATGTGGATCTGCCTCTACGCCTGGCTGTTGTGCTCCATGGCCTTCTGGTAGACATCATCTATCAGAGGACCAGATAGGACAGAAAAGACATGAGTCCAGTTTGGTTGTTAGTTGCAAAAGTTTGTGTAACTCTTGCAGTATTTAACATTTATGACAGAGCCTGAGCTGGACATGTCAAAACGCCTGGAGGACTTCATTATCCAAAGCCAGGACCAGGATGCAATGCTGCAGGCTGAGGTGACCGAGATCCGGAATCAGCTGTCTGTTCGAGAGGAGCAGCTCGCCAGCGCCACCTTCATGTAAAACAATAGAGCCTAAAAGTAATGTGCATGTTGCATTTGTCAGCAAGTTTTCCAGTTGTTTGATTTAAAAAATTTAAAATATGTTTAATTTTTCCTGCATTTTGTGTTTGTATCATATGCATTCAGTCTGCATATACTGTATTCCACACTTTATAACTTTAATTAGTCTCATAAAGATGAAGAAAGCTGTTAATACTTCAACTGGACCGGGTGTAGAAAGCTGTAAGCATAGGATGTGTTCTAACTGTTATTACTAATTAGCAGTAAAATATTTGATGGTTCCATAGCATTTTGGTGTTCTTGTCTACATGAACATGTCTTCTATCTGTCACAGGCTTGGTGTGATTGAGGAGGAGAGGGAGGAAGATGAGAGGAAGCTCAGTGTTGCCATTGCAGCAGCCAAGAGAATGAACATACTGATAAGAAGACAGAAAAAGCTAATTTTCAAGCTTCATTAGTTCATTTCATAATTCACTTTTTATGTATTCATCCACATGTCAGTCAAAACTGCACTGACCTTTGTATAACTAAAACACTGTAGTTAAGCCTGTTAAACCTGCTAAACACAGGCTAACTTGTAACTACTGAGTTCAATTTGTAAAATTCTGCAGCTTCAAGGTGAAAAGCATTGATTTCAAGTATTGTTAGCAGTATATTTGCACTACTTGTGTGATTCAATGCTAATTTTTTAAATATTTTAAATACATTTGAGAGTGAGTGTGTTTGTGAGTATGTTTGCTGCCCTTTTAAATGTTTCACCTGCAGTTAAATAAATAATGAGCTGTTATCAATTCACATTTAATGCATCTTTTCCATAATATTAAGTATTGTGGGGAGAAACGGCTTCTTTGACAGTACACAGTGGTTGAATTGCATACATGAGTGACCGGATGAATACATATTGATGTCTGTTTTCTATGTGCTCACAGGAGGAGCAGTTTGCAGACCTGCTGAAGGACCTTCACCGACTCAGTGAGGCCAAAATAAAACTCAGCATCCGGAAAACAGTAAAAAGATTAAAGCTGCAGTATCAGTTTTGTGTAAATACAGACATATAGTTCATGTGGAAGTCATTTCCTGAAGTCACAGGTCTCTTGATCACTTTAAGAACATATTTATTTTTGGATTTGAGTGAGCAAACTGACTGAGGTGAACATGAAACCTACATGTCTGCATTTCAGCTTTCACTGTATGTGACTTGTAAACTTTTCTAATAAATAAAAGAAATACTGAACTGTTACTTTCAAATGTTTGTTTTGACAAATGATCAATTATCCTTCAGTAACAAAAAAGGAAAATATTTTTTCATGGTCAGCCTCCCAAATCACAGGGTGCCTTATGCTGCAGTTGCAGTAAAAGAATAGTTTAAGATTGACATTTCACACACTTTACTGTTGAGTTATAACATATTAAAATACATGACTGCAGTTTCTTTAATATTTATTTACCAATAAATTCAGTTCAGTTCAAATACATCAATTCACTTTAACAACTAGTACATCTGTTGCATCAATACAATTCAAATGAAGTGCGTACAATTTAGTTCAGCTCAATTAAATTATATTAAACAGATCGATAACATCTATTCAAAAATTTCGATTCAATTCAGTAACTAGATCTGGGACATCAACTATTACATTGTACATCTTGGGCAACTGCATTAAAAATCCCAAAAATAAAATGGAACTAATTAAGTAAAATCATTACAAATAATAACAGACATAACAAATCAATAATGCTTTTTAAAGTGCACCGTGTTGGTAACTGAGCTGAAACTACACATACTCGTAGCCATCCGTGTCTTTGTCTGGGGGATATTCTGGTGGGGTGCACAGGATCTCAGGATCAGAGTCCTCTTTGGACTGGTGCTCGTCCTGGGCTGATGGGCTGATGTGGATCTGGATGTCATCTGGGGCTTGGGTCTCAGCAACTCTGCCATGCATCCTAGCCAGGCAAAGCACAACATGGTCATCACTGGTCTGAGGTCAGCATAGAAGACTTTTTTAGGGTTCAGATTTGTGCTGCTCCTCTCTGCTTCTAGCCTTAATCCTCCTTTGAATAACCATTTGCATCAGATTGAAGAATTGACTTCATGCTTTCTGCAAATGAACTGGGTTAAAATAAGACAAGTAACATGAGACTATCACGACTCGTACCTTTCCATTTCCTGTCCTTGCTCCTCTGTGTCTTCCTGATCGTTTTTCAACACCTGATGAACAAGTGCCACGCCAATGCAGTCTCCCATGACATTAATAACCGTGTTGCAGCGGTCTCTGAAAGGCACAGACAACATCAGACTATGACAGCAGAGGGTATATGCTGCTTCACACAGATTTTGTTTCTTTATTTTAACTCTTTGCACTTCTATCATTTTAAGTAGCTGTCGTGTAGCTGACTGAACAAACAGACAAAACTTACTTTACCTTGCTAGTATATGAGCCATTTAGCATGAATACATAATAAATAACAAAAAATCTAAAAAGATAAGTAACACTTATCTGACGTGACCATCGAAATGATGTTAATAATTACCTGTCTAAATTACACTGAACAACAATTACACAATATACCTCAAATTACAAAACGTTATTAATAATGTCCGATTGAATGAAGAAATAACATCAGCTAACGTGAAAGTTATGCTACACTTTGTGATGCTACAGTGACTGTGCATGTTTTTCATTGGACGGGGCTCCACGTGTTTCCTTGCGACCTTAACCTTCCTTACTAGCTCAGATGTTTCTATGGTTTAAATGGAGTAACCCAATTTGGAAAATCACTAGTTTGAAACTAGATAATAGAGGTCAGGTAGGACTTTACACTCAAACTTAGCAACACATTTGTGAATAGCTGAGCCAAACCAGTCAGAAAAGACAGTTGTAGAAATCCATTCATCACATTTTGAACTACAGATTGGACTTACAGGAGCCACTCTATGACCACTAGAAAGGAGGCTTCCTTAGCAGGTAAACCAGCCGCTGTCAAAACAAAAAAAGTTGTCATGGCGCCTGTGGATGGGATCCCTGCTGCTCCAATGCTCAACAGTACTGATGTCACCCTGCAGATCACACACACATACTGCACTCAGAAAACTTTACCATGCATCTTTTAAGTCTCTTAACACCGATATCAACTCTGTCTATGATGATGATGACGCTAAGATTTCCTAAAGAACAGGCAGAGCAGCTTACGTGATGGTAATCAGCTGGCCTATCTCCAGATGGATGTGGTTGATTTGGGCAATGAAAAGTGCTGTGACCACTTCGAAAAGGGCAGTTCCGTTCATGTTGATGTTGGTCCCGATGGGCAGCATGAAGCGACTGATTCCTTTGTTGATCTTCTCACAATAATGCAAAGTGAGCGGCAGTGTGGCAGAGCTTGGAGAAACACAAGGCAATCCATTGTTTGTGCACTACTCATATGAAAATATAAAAAATGTGAATCCCTCGGGTAGCTCCGATGACGAATGCACTAATAAGCAGTGATCGTGAACTCACAGATCTTTGTGCTACATCGTCTTACCTGGATGAGTTGAGGAATGCGGCCTTTAAGGCAGGCAAAAAAACCTTGATGTCAGCACGGGGGTCACGTCTCGTACAAAGGAAGTAGATCAGTGGTAGAACACATGTTCCATGGATTACAAGCCTGAAACACACAATGAATGCACAAATCAATACAATACTGATTATTCAAATACAATCACAGCCGTAGGAGAATTTAAGTGGGACTGTAACGTTTGAATGGAGAAATTAGACGCCTCTCAAAAACAGAGTTGAATACCTTTTCGAATCTTTTACCCTTTAAGTGAGGTGACGTGTATTTTACATATCAATTAATGTAAGGCTACTACAACTTTTGTAGCTGCCTCTGTTGCCCCAAGTGAAAATGATGGGAGAACGCTAATGCAACGTCATAGTGTAGCAGTAGCACAAGAGTCCGCAAAACGTCCATTATTGGACGATATATATATATAGACCTGAACTTTGCTAACATCAGCTAACTAGTTTAACTAGTTTCATTGATGAATTCAACTTCCTTTTTTAGGAGTGATGTCATTTCAGTGATAAAACAGTAAAAGGTGAACATACCCAAGAAGAACCACTGCCATGAACTTTCCCAGTTTGAAGACTGTTTCCCAGTCGTGAACCTCCAGGACAAGGCTCGTGGTCATGAACAGCACTCCAACTGGCAAGCAGCTGAAAAGAAAACCATGAAATGAGAAAAATGAAGGAAAGACTGACTGACTTAGCAAACGCAGACAGTTGTCTGAATCCCATTAATATATCAGTACAAAAAATAAAACAGCCATGGTTCTCTCATTTCAGAAGATGTAAGAACCTGACCTGAAACTCCTTTATAATAAAAGTCACATTGAACAGGTGTAGAAGAGTGAAAGATGCTGCTATGTTTTGTCAGTAATACAATTTTACTATTTGTAATGGCTATATTTAATGGTATGTTGTTTAACCTTACCCCAGAATCAAGTTGACCAGTACTTTTAGGAAGTCGTTGAGGCCAGTAAGGACCTTTACAATTACTTTCCCATCTTCTCCCATTATGTTGAGGGCCAGGCCAAACAGGTAAGACCAGACAATCAGGCCCAATATGTTGGTGCCTTGGACAAAATTGCCCGAAAGTCGCACCTGTGTTGCATTCTGTAACAAGAACAGAAACTCATTAAGAATAATAGTCTGAGAGCAACTTCGTGTATCAAAGATTATCTCTGCAAATGCTAACTTCACAAAATGATCTTCTTAGTGACATGGGAAAAATATTTACCGTCTCCAGACTAGAAGGTTGCTCATCTGCTTCAAATTCAACCTCCATCCTCCCAGTCTTTTGCTATAATAGAAAGAAATGTTCAAATATCGTAAATATTACATGGAGAGAGAAGAAATGATTAATGTGCCTTAATGACAAACATACGTACGTGTAGGAAGCTAGCCAAAATCAGGTTTGTTGGGACAATGTTCCTAGAAACAATAAGCAAAAGTCACACTCATCAGTGGGCTTGGAAACGTTGGCAAATCACTCAAGAATTGCGTTTTTTATGAACGACATGATGTGACATTTGAATGTGTTTGCGAACACCTGAAATACCAAATTATTTCTGCTTAAGAAAAACATTAATGGATGTGAATTCTGTTGCTCCACGTTCCAACACTTTCTGAAAGGATGCCAGTGACCTAGAAACCTGCTGAAGTGAACGATGTCAGAATATACACTTTGTTCTCACCGTACTAGATCCAACAAGGCATCGATAGTGGAGAAGGCCTCTCCACCTGCATCTTCTTTACTCACAGCATGAGCACCTCCTGGCTTGATGGACAGAACCAGTACCAACCCTACGACACAGAATCCACAGTGTCTGCTGTAGATCTTTTATACACAGCAGCTAGATTTAAATGGGCTGACGCGGGATTACTACTGTAACCCATTAAAAAAACATTTGTTTCAATAGTGCCTCACAGAAAAAGTGCTTTACATGGTATAAAACACAGTTATATAACACAAACTGTCATTCACATTTTGATCAAGCATGCTTGAACACCATACTGTGAATGACTGATATACAGGAAAACACGTGATTTTTCACATCTCTCCACTAAAACTCTTTTATTGCAGAACTGATCTTGTGGCTCACTCTCCTGTGTCTGACACTCAGAGACTGACTTCCTGTCAACTAATGACAATAAAATCATTTCAGCAGATTAAATCGGAGTACAAAGTCATTATAAAACGACTTTTGTTGCAACTGTGTTAATGTGGGAGACGTTACACCTTCACCATTCTGATTGGTTGATGACGTTTGGTGATGTCACATGATTTGATTCAGCATCGCTCTGCCACCCTCTACTTGAGCAGCAGTCTAATTAGCCAGCAGGTGAAAACACCTGTGTGGGTTTAGTAGCTGCACTGTGGCCTTTTGTGACACAGGTGTAATGAATAACATTGATTGCAGCCTACATGCTGGCTCACTGAGATATCAATAACATCTGAACTCTTCCCTCTGACGCGTGAAAATGTCTGCGGTGAGAAAGCTTTCGTAAGCTATGGAGAGGAGCATTCTTGAAGATCGAAGAAATGAGTGCGTCCCCTGGTTGGAATAGCTGTATTACCATGATGACAGAGGCTGGTGAATGAGTGTTAAATAGCACATTTACAAGCTCAAGTGAGAAACAAAAGAAAACGTTCAAATGACATATGTGTTCATCAATAAAACGGTATCTTTCCTAAAACAATGTACAGTATTTCTCTCACCTGTAGCCACAGACAGAAGAGTGGTTGAGATGACGTATGCTGCTGCACGTACAACGACTTTTCTGGACACTTCCACTCTTAGACTACAAACACCTGGAAAAGACAACGTACGTCACGGTCTGAAGACTACAGGTTGGAGAGTCAGTGGGGGTCACACGGTATATGAGTGTAACATGAAGGGTAATGTAATGGAAAGTGAGGGGAACACAGTTACATCTCAGGAAAAACAGTCAACAAATCAATACAATAAGTACAAAGAAAATGCAATAACAGCAATACAAACATTACAAAGAATAAAAGCAGTAAAATGATGACAATTATAATAAGAGGCCATTTTAAGGAGACCACTTGTTGAAGGCGAGAGAGTGACTTTTGGTTGATGCCAGAGAGGAGGAAGTTACAGTATTCAAGTCTTGAGAGGATAAAAGCATGAATGACTTTTTCCAAGTCTGAGCGTGAGAGGATAGGCTTGATTTTGGAGATGGTTCTTAGTTGAAGACGGGCCAAGTTTTGTGATTTGTGGTTCAGCTTAAATCAAAAAGTACTCACTCTAAATTTCTGGTAGTGGGCTTTATGTTGTCAGATAAGGGACAAAAGAAGCTTTTAATGGGACTCATGGGGTTTGGAGGACTGAACAATATGATTTCTGATTTTGAGATATTGAGAAGAGTCGTATGAGTAGCATTTAAAGGAGACGAGGATTTGACCAATTTGGAGCAGGTAATATACTTATTACATACTGTACTGCAGTGACAGTCAGAGTCAACCAGCTATGTTATGTTATGTAATATACATAAAGGAAGCCAGCACATCCTGTGTGTACAGAGAGCAGAAGTTTCACTCACTTCGATCATGTAATTGTGACTGGTGTCCACAGTGGCTGGTGTTCATCAAGTGTTATACGGACTCGCTTAAAGGTTATTTAGGTTTGATAAGCTTCAACTTGCCAAACCACCAGTAGGCTCCTTATAAAAGCTGCATGCACAGCATGTTGTCTACAGTTAACAGTGTGTGAAATGCTCCTGTGGCTTACCCGTCATCAGAGTTGTCACAACGAGAGGAACGGAAGCCGCCTGAAGCATCTGCAAGAGCATCTCTCCTGGGACGCTCATGTAGACTTGGTCATTTTCGGACACAGGGACGTAGAATTTTAGAATCAAGCCCAGACCAATACCTGTGAGACAATAACAAAAACATTTTTGGAAATTTGTTTTTAAAACTGATGCAATTCTCAACATCAAGTGGTCTGGATTCTGTTCTGTATGCTTGATGCATTTGAATACACACAATCGATGACCAGTCGTCATAGAAGCGAATGTTGAGCAATAAACATTTTACATTGAGTAATCATAGAGGTTGCTCTTTTAAAACAACTGTATTGATTTAAACGTACCATTATTAAGCCGTTCAACCCGGTGATGTCCCAGAATTAGAAACCCTCTGTATCTAATTTGTGACTCTTGATACTTTGCACTCACTATTTTTGGTAACAGTTGCTTTCAAGTAACAAGTAAAAGTATGCATATGTGATAAATTATGAAGAAACACAAATCGGATTCAAAGGATGCTGTGGTTCCTCCCGCAACATGATAATGTCCGCAACAGCAAAGCAGGATATTAACAGGGAATCTATGGTGTAAAGCTAATTAAAACTCGACAATTAGACATCATAACATAGCGTTAATCATACAGTTGCATCCTGGGAAATAAACCCAAAAGTGTCTTACAACTGGTTTAAATTACATCATTAACTTAATTAATTCGTTTTAAATTAAAAATCTTATTTTTATTAAGATTTAATTCGAATTTCAGTCTCTTAATATCCCTTACTAACGGTACAGATCATTTCTGACAATACATTTATTGAAATAAAACTTTCCTAACTCATGTTAACTGTCTGCTAAGCTAGCTAGGTCGACCGTTACTGGCTAACTAAGCTAACGGCACGTCTTTTCCCGACTGAAGTAACGTTAAGTAACGCTAACTTAAACTGCAACCGTTAGTGATCACTTACCCAGGACAACCGCTGCTAGACTTGAAACCAGTAGTTTAATCCGCTGAATGTAATGGCAGCATGACTTCATGCAGCCACAGCAGCCTCTCGGGTTGTCCTCTTCAGTCACGATATTATCCATTTTCATACTTAAATATTTTAACAGTAAAATGAGAATTAGCAAGATATCGACTAATTTAGCTGTTGAGTGTCATCCGTTTGTCTGTTTGTCATCTGTTTGTCTCATTTAACGTTATGATTCAAAACCGAAGAGTAGAACTCTGATGAAGATGATGAGAAGCACGTGACCTAAGAAGGTTTAACGGTTAAAACAGCCCGGTGGTGACGTATATGCTCTTTTCCAGGTAATACTTGCATTTTACAGTACTGGTATAGACATTTATATTGAAAAACATATCCATCTATCTATAGTGGTGGAAAGTAACGGTTTTTCACAGATTATTAATAATAACCTCTGTTACAATTAAGAATATATATAATGGGACCAGGAACAATAGACAATGTAATAAAGTGACTGTGATTAACTAACTCAAAAAAGGGGATTCAATTTTAGAAGATATTATGTCTAAATATTAGATATACCAAATCAAATGGCTTAATGGATTTGAAGAAAGACACCATTACAGTCCTGTATTAGTACATTTCCTAGTTTTGATTCTCTGCCCATGTCTTCCTCTCTCTCTGACTCTTTTTCTTTTTCTCTCACTCGTCTTTCTGTGCTGTCAAAGTCCAGACTGAGACTGGAGTTTATTGTCAGGCAATCCCAGTTAAATGTGTGCTATGTCTGTGTAATTGATGTCACCCAGCAGTCCCCATTGTCAGTGATTGGGAATGTGTGCAACGCTGCTTCTTCCGCACTCTACAGATAACTTGCAGCCACCAAAGAAAAAGTGCATCATCTTGAAGATTTCATACCCATGGGGGAGATGAAAGCTCATTACCAAGCGTGATGAATGTGATCTTATCCAGCAACTCCAATGATCGTGGTTGGACCATAACATTTTATTGCTGTTACTTCGAATTTCTGCGGATGAATGTTTCATTCAAACTTGAAGAGATTACCCACAGAAAGGTTAGCAAGTTGTATTTTTCACTGTGTCAGCGGTGTGATTTTGTCTCCAGGGCATTGTTCCAGCATGGTACCGCTGTCAAGTTAGTTATGATTTGTGCAAGTATTTAATCTACCTGAAGGTGGAGGACAATGGTGCATGAAGTGTATTATTCTAAATGTCAGTATGTTTCTAACTACTTTGATTTGGAGCATGACTTATTTTGATATTACAGCTGCAACGAGTGTTTCATTTCATTACAAATCCAACCACGATTTAATTTAATAAAGTTTAAATGAGCCTTAAAATGAGTTCTAGCATTTGTTTTTGTTTTTCATATAAGATCACATCATTTATTCCTTTGATAGAAAACATGTTACAGGAAAGAACAAAGATGGAGACAAAGAATAAAAAATTACCAAAGCTGAGTAAACTGAGTTCATGAGTTCAATTTGGAGGTTTTAGGAACCTAAAACTTGTTTATATTTCAATCAGGAGCGAATAAATTAATACGATTAAATGTTGACATTTTGGGAAGTAGCCGTATGTGCTGGTCTGATGTTTAGTTCAGTCAGATATCAGGTTTATTATGCTAGGCGTGGCTAATATAGCCTTAGCTGCTAGCCTCAAGCAAAGAATAGAAACTGACTCCAAAAGATTTTTATCCTTTTCAAACTTGTGGTCTTCAACTCCAACATACACTGAGTGCAATCACTTGAGACAATTTATCCTTTTTTTTCAGATATGCAGAAGAACTCCCCCTACATGTAAACATATGGGTATTTACAGGTTGATACAATTCTTCCACTTCTTAGGCCATTGAAATTTAGATTGTCTGCAAAATGCATCCTCAAAAAGGCTGGAAACAAGACAGCACCCCTCATTTTGGAAATAAAGTTTACACACAATACTGCTGAACCGTTAAAAGATACAAAAAAAAACCAAATAATATCAAAAATGAGACAAAATGAGTAAAATTTCTGGGGCACTAGTGTGATCTCAGTGTTTTTGATTATTGTCGGTGTTTCTAGTCGACGATTTTTATCATACTGCCAAAGGTCAAAGGTTGAACTTGCTGTTTGAGACAAGCCAGTTGCAGTCTGCCTGCTGTTTTCTACAAAAACATGACAACAGACAATATTGAGTTCTCATGAAAGCAGACACATGCATCCCCACAGCTGGAGACGGGTACCCAGACCAAAGCCTCAAGCTCTCCTTTTAGTCTCCATAGCAATGTCAATATCCCTTTTACCGTCAGGCCTCAAAGGCTGACCAGATTTCATGATGTGGCTGCTTTATTGAGCCTGATCTGCTTTTGTTGCCCCCTTTGGCATTCAATCAGCATCCGTGCGGTTCTGGCCCGTGGCTGTGAGCTTGGCTGCGTAATTTGGTTTAGACCTGAGCGGGAACATCTGTTCTACAAAGCCTCAGCTCCTTCCATTCCTCGGGCCTCATGGAAAAAACCAAGGCCAGCGGTGTGGACGCTGCTGCATCACAGGACCTCCAAACCAGCACGCCACAACCTCGAGTCCAAACCCTCTCAAGAGTAATCTCAGCAGTGAGAGAAGAAGAGTGACGGAGCTTTGAAACGCAAGGTTCAAATCTGTGACGTCGTGTAGTATTTGTAGGTGGACTGACATTGACTAAGAGTGTGCTTTATTGATTTCATATGTACAATAAGAGGATTTAAACTGTGAGACAAAATGTTACATTCAGTCAGATGACACATGGAAAAGATTTTTTATGTGAATAAAGTGTATGTACAGTTATTAAGAACTTAATATGTGTTTCAATGTTATTATCTTGTCAGAGATCTGTGGTCACAGGCATAACAAACGTGCACACATTTTGTGCCTGAGACCAAACCCACATAAAGCTGGGATTTATGAATTACTGTATTAAACTGGTTCATAAAAACCCTAGATTGTATATTTGTTATGTTTATTTTCTTTCTTGACAAAGATTGATGAGAAGAAGAATGTCACACTCCTATCGCTGGAGCCAGGCGACAGTTAGCTTATCTTACCACAAAGACTGGCAAAAACATGGGAAACAGTTAGTCTTGCTCTCTCCAACGGTTTAAAAAGAAAAACATCTTGCATGTTTGAAACGGAGCAAAACCAGAAATGTTCTCCAGAGGATGAAGCCCACTGACTTCGCTGAATTTTTCCTCTAGTGCCACATTTTGGGGCTGTGAATTATCTCAACAACTATTGGATGGATTGCTGTAATGTCCATTCAGCCTTAACTGTACTTTATGTTAGTGCTAAGTAACAAATGTTAGCATGCTAACACGCTAACATGGTAAACGTTAACCTGCTAAACATCAGTATGTTAACATTGTCATGTGAGCATGCTAGCATACTTATGTTAGCATTTAATTGCACCGCTGTTCCTAAGTAGCCTACAATCTTACAGAGCCGCTTGCAGCTGTAGAGTCTTGTTTCTGAACGAATCCCCTGCAGAGAAAACCTGCGTCCTCAGTTAAGAAACTTTTAGAAACCGAAGCTGAATCATCACCCTTGGAACATCTTTCACAACACAATTAGTTAAGTGGTCACGGTGCTCAGCCAAAGCACAGCTAGAATGAGAGAGGGGATTAAGAAAAGAGAGAAGACTTGCTCACATACATATCCAAGGTTGAGAGCAGAGTCCCAGCACATGGCTATCATCCAGCCCTCAAGAGAAAACTTGCTGTCTTTGGAAATTGTCTCCTACGCTCACAATGAGAGAGGAATGAAAAAGCGTGTTCATGTGCTTGTGGCAATTTTGATAGTGTGTTTGCCTCGATCATTTTAGAAACTCATAACGTCTGGCCTTTGTATCCGCTGTCCCACAATCTAGAATCTGATGAAGAGGAAACAGCTGGGTCTGGAGACAATGTCGATTTTAATAGCCCTTCCTCCTCCACATGTACTCACAGTAGCATCAGAGTAAATCTTCCCAGAACGGGCTCTTCTGTTGAAATGCAGAGGAAAAAAATGCAGACCAATTCAACGTGGCGGTGCATTCCCTTCTAATTAAGGAACAGAATTCGTCTGGCCCTATTCTCTCATCCTTCTTCATTTTTCTTGAGCTGTTCCCTTCCTACAGTGTATCTCCAGTTTAGAGACCCGCTGTGCGTGTATGGAATTGCATACATGTTTGGCACGCACAACTATAGAGACATGCATAACTTTAAACTACTAAGAGGGCGTTGTTGTTCTTCAGACCAGATTTCTCAGCAGCGTGCAGTTGACAGAAGCAGGCACATGAAGAAGAAAAAGGTCATGTGTGCAAATGTTTGATTCGTTCGCTTGGACATGCAGGCAGCGAGTTAACGCCCTTCCTGGTCTTTTGTTCTCCTTGTTGACGAGAGCAACACATTGATTGATTGGGTATAACAGTAACCACAACACTGAGATACATGCACAGCCATTACAGAGGTCTGAGAATAGAATGGGATGCTTGCTTAGAGGTAGCCAAGTGAACTGGATATTTTCTTGGGGAGGCTTTCTCAGGGAGCGAGTCCGCTGGGTTAAATAAAGAGAGATTTTCCTGTCGCTGACAGTTCATGAAGTTCATTACCATGTGTGTGTGTGAATGAGAAAGACCAGATAACGCCCGCCTCACCCAGCGGACACCTGGCTGTGACCGTCTGCTTCATATCACCGTGGGAACACATTTACTCTAGCTACATGAGTACACAGGTGCACATGCACGGGCACACACACAAATACACATGCTGACATATAGGTATACACACATGAAACAACACATGTTCACTTAAGCTCTATTGTGTTTCCTCCAAATTATGACAAATGAATGATCATGACAGATAGACAATAAATCCATTGTTGTGCCGTCATTAAGCAGAAACTTGCAAAATTCCCATTATATTGTCCATTAAACAGCTGTAGGAAGTTCTTATTTTTCAGCTACCTGTACATTCTGCAGTTTAAATGGACATCAAGGTGACGGATTATGCAAATGCTCTCATGTAACAAAACCGTCAAGCAGTGGAAAATCTCTGATATTCTGACGTGTATGTCCTCCACTTACATGAGTTGTGAGTACAGAAGAAAACAAGATGTCACCGGCTCTTTTACAGTTCTTCATTACCATGTGAACCATAATTTAAGCTTGACAGCATGTCAGCAAGACAGGAATAATAATCTCTCTGACATCTGCAGAGTCAAGATCAGTCAGTGTTCTTCCTTTCAACACTTCTGGCGTGGTGTCACTCACAGTGCATACACTTTGTTACATACTCTTTAGCTTCTGTCTGGAGCCAGAGTGTCCTTGCATGTCTGGCCTGTGTACAGTAGTTAAGTCATATTTCTGGAGCTGATTTTCGGCAGCTTCAGCTGAGCTGTTGTATCCAAACAAAATATATATTTTTCCTTCAATCTGAGTGTGGTTGATTTCACAGTGAGTGACCTAGATGCTTTGGCAATAGACCTTTCTTCAAATAAAACTGTGCCTTATCCATATTTAATGCATCCTCTGGTCTGAGCTGGATTGAGGCCTTGACTGGACCTAATTCTCATGTGATCAGTTCTTTCATTCTCTCTGAATGCATCATCATGTTGTAAATCCCAAAGAAATCCTTTCAAGAGCTAATGCAAGGAACCTTTATGACGAGGACCTGGGGGAATTTTACTTAATTCAACCTCACCTTTGTCTTTGGATGGTTTGAAGTGTGTAGCTGATTGGGATCCATCTTATTCAGCCATGAAGATTGAGACAAAGTTTCTTACTTTTGTTGTACTGTATGTTACTTTTTTCAAGTTTTAGCAGCACCATTGCGCCAAAGATTTTTGGGGCCAAGAGAAGGACAAATGGCTCTGGAATATCCCACAAAAAAAAAAAAAAGGATGATGTCAAAGCCTATTGTGTATTGTGCTGCATTCGGCATCCACTCTAATGCGCGCAAACCAATACACGCACTTGCTTGAGAGGTTTGAGTATGAGTATTAAAACCAGAAGCTGTGCATTTAGCCATATTTGGGCCCATGGTTGGATCACAGAGAAGTAGATTATGCTGCAGGAGGAGGTTTAAGAGACGTTTCCATAGACATCTTGATCTGTATATTTTCTTCAAGAAACTGGGTCACTTCATAACTGCCATGAAAACATGTTGACCGCTGCCTTGAAAGAGCTACAAAGTTAAACCACCACTTCAAGTGTTGTTGTGTTTGATAGTCATGAGAGACTTTGGGTGGAGTATCCCTTGAAATTGAGTCTGTAAAGCTGTTAGTCTCATATCTCAGCAATAAAGCTAGTAAAATCTTTGTAGAAGTGATGGTAAAAAATACAAAATAAAAGGAACCAAGAAAAGTGGAATTTCCCTTTAACACGTGGCTGATTACAGTTTTACACACTGAGAATAAACACATTTATTATCCATGATGGTTGACTACAAATTTGAACTTGTATTAGTTTTCTTTTTCCAGGCTGTTTTGTTACATGCAGTTTTTCGTGCAGCACATGTGCCATCGAGTTGTCGCAGTGCTGATGGCACACTCTCTCCCCCCGTGTAGCTTCACTGTGCCTCACTCGCTGCCTTTTCCCTCTCCTCAGACAGTACATCATTAGCTGTCTGCTGAACACCTGGAGGCAAAGCCAAGCGAGGTAATTATTGAGGGCATAACCACGTCTGCACGCAACCGTCATTAACCCATCGTACCTCATTTAGAGTAGAGAATAGGCCTTGTTGTTGTAAGAGGAGAAGGAGAGAGAGAGAGAGAGAGAGCGAGAGAGAGAGAGAGAGAGAGAGAGAGAGAGAGAGAGAGAGAACAGCGTGGATTGCTGATCAGCCCCTGACATGTCAAATATGACACAACGAATGTCTTTGAGGCTACAGCTAATAAAGCCTGGAATTTGCCAGGACCGAGGATGAGAGAGGCTTATCCCCTACTCTTAACTGTGAAGATGCAGGAATTCATGATAGGGAAACTCACACAAACACACACACACCACACACACACACACACGCAACACAACCAGCAATGACTTGTTTGCTTCCCTGTGCAAAAAAAAAACAGGAAAAGATTTTGAGGAGAGCCGGCCTTAGAATTCCTTACGTCTGAGAGACCTCATAAACGACTGCAGAGACCGGATTTAAAGTGTGTATGTGTTTATAGGCATGTTTGTCTATGAGTGAGTGCGCTTGCATCTACAGAATGATTGTGTGGACCTAAGTTATGCATTTACAATCCATTACGTAGTTATATGAATGATAAATGATGATCAAATGTGTGTGTGTGTGTGCGTATTTTAATGTTTCCTCTCTTACTGTAACTGCACAATCACCTCAGCCGCTGCATGGGCGACAACTTCGGGAACAATGATAAAAGCTGAGTTCTTCCTTTCTTACCTTAACGCCTCATTTCCTTCCTTCGGTCGTCACTGACGTGCCCGTGCAGCTCACACACGTCACGTGCAGGAATGCCTGCGTGACAGGCTGCCGGGTTTTAATTGCATAGATATACATTGTAGAGCTGAAGTTCCATCTTTTTCCATACTAGTTTCCATTCTGCTCTGTTGTTACCCCAGTGTGATTTCCTCTTTCCTGTATCAATATATCAGGGTTTTTGTGCCTATATTAACAAAACTAAGAGACTAATTGTTTGGTCAGCATTGAACACAACTCCCATTAGGCTCTGAGGGCATGTTGCTAAAAATGTATGGCATTATTTACGAAGATATTTAGCTGTTTAATCTCAATGGCAAAAACGGCAAAGCGCTGAAATTACAGTATGCTAGCGAGAACAGTGGAAAATAAGGACTCATTAGACAATGGACAGAAAATCCCAGAATCATGTTTAAGCTTTGAAAAAAAGAAAAGCTCACATGAGGTTGTGTGGGGAGGCTAATGGAACAGAGGCTAACTTAAAGAGGGGATAGGGCTTCAGCTCTGCAGTCTACAGGGACACTTTGAGGTATTTACAACAAAATGCTGCAAATTCTGGCTGAGAAAAAAAAAGGATTAAAGATATTTTCATCATCTTGCACTCTTGCTTCATGTCTTTCAATGTCAGCATGGGTTTGTGAACATGACTCACACACACGCACACACACACACACACACACACGCAATCACACATTGTGTCTTCATTCCTTTAGAGGACATTATGTTGAGATACATTCATTTCCCGGAGACTTACCCTAGCTTTTACCATAACTGCTACTTGCCTAATCCTAACCTTACCGTGACCTTAAACCAAGTCCTCACAATTAATGTAATGATTTATGAGGACGTACACTTTGTCCCCAAAAGTAAGGCGAGTCCCCACAATGTAGTAATACACGCCCATACAAACACACAAAAACCACAGCAGATTCTTATCAGCAGTTTGACAAGTCAACTGTAATTTGTAATAATAAATAATTTCCACCATAACCTGTTATAATGCATCAATCATTTTCAGAATGTCTGCTTACACATTGTCATTTAAATGATTTTTGAATGGGCTTACATTTTACACTAAATGAAACATGTATAGGATTCTAATAGTCTCTCAGTAAAAACAAACTCTCTTCTCTTGACATAAAGTTTTTATTCACGTAAATAAAACCGATCCTTCGTGGTTTAAGGGCCATATCATATAAACATATTTTTTCAATCAGCTTCTTACCGAACACACTAATATTAATATTTTACATAAGTGATTGGAGTTTACAATAGTTTGAAAATGGTGATGACACCTACTCCTGAGCACCAATCAGCATTCAGCAACATTTGAATGTGAATCTGATGACAGTTGGTGGGTTGTTTGCTGATGTCAGTCAAATCTGATCAAACCACACGACCCTGCAACACATTTGCTGAGATTCTGAGTAAAAGCTTCACAAATTACAATTTTCTAAACTTTAACTTATTTAATGTTATCAAAAAATGAGGCTTTAATATCATTCCTGTGCGGCATGATGTGATGAGAACTGGGCTCAAGTGTGAAAATAGACATTTAAGAAAATAAAGCAAACACGTAATACTGAAAGTGGGAACAGTACAGTATTGACTGTTTTCAACTGCCAGAGAGCACACTTTGCATACACAGCTTTTGCAGACAGGCAGATCGTTGGTTTTGTTTTGTGAAAAAAAATTACTTTTACACGTCAAGACTCAACCAATTGTTCCAGTATACAGTAGCAGGAGTACAGTACAGAAGGCTGTATAATTTACGGGCGCATGCTATCTGCTAAACCTCAACTATCTACCCTGCCAGACAGTCATAATGTATTTATCAATTATCCCTGGCTGTGTGTGCCCTTGGGGCTGCAGTCCGAGCCCTCACCTCCTCACAACTGAACTTCAATCCGTCATCCTGTCAGAAAAGCAGGCAGGGGAGAGCGTCCTGCAAAAAACAGCCTTTTGACGAGTCAAAAGAAAGACAAGCTTTTAAAATTAAGTAAAAAAGATTTTCACTCATGAGTGTTTTGCAAAGCCCGCATTAAACTGATGAGTGAACAAAGATCTTGTTTTTTGGCAGAGATTAAAATATGTCATTTTAAAGTATTGGGATGTGAAAAATGTAGATATTATAAATTTAGAAAACCATGATTTGTTGAGGTTACTGTTATGTGTATTTTTCAGGGTGGGAGCATCTACAGCACTATGAATCATCTGATCCATCCGTAGGAGCAAGTCAGGGCTTTGATGATGTGTCTCCCTCCAGAGGAACACAGAGGTAGTAACAGCATGCACTTATGTATTAAGCAAAATAAACTTTATTTATATATTCATCATACAGTAAAACTTCCATCTTACACAAAATGTTACAACAGAATGCAATGCAATACAAGTTTATACATATTTTTCTATTCTGCACATTTTACATTTCCAATGTTGACTCTTATGTAGATAATACTTCTTGTAAGTAATCTGCCTTCATGTCTACAAAAATACATTCTATCTTTGACTGGGTATTACCAACAAGTCCAGTAGACTGACAAAGGAGTTTGGAATAGAGCTACTAATATGTGATATGTCCGTAGCAAAAAAACAAAAATGTCATCACTTCCTCCTTAAATGAATTCATTGGGGTAGAAAAAGCTTTACATTTAGAACATCATGGATGACTCCTGTAAGCACAGTAATGAGGAATTCAAAGCTCTTTGTATTTGTAGACCAGAGTTGTGGTGTCTGGTGTCCATGGCAACTTTCCAGCGCTGACGCACGGTACAGTGCAACAACAGATCAATAAAGTGTGTCAAATGAATTGCAAAAGGAAGCAAAAAAAACTGCTCATAATTGTGAGGATGAATTCATATATTTAACAGGATACATGACAGTGTGTTATCGTCATCAGTGCGAGTACCTGCAGGCAATGCTCTGAACACTCAAAACAGAAACGCAGAGGAAATGGTTAGATGTGTATCAGTGCACACAGGTCTTGTTTGCTTGGGAGGGGAACACATTGTGGTTTAACCGCTTGAAACTGACAGGCAGCTGGTGGTGGAGCTCAGCCTATATTTTTTGGGTGCCCTGCGAGGCTTGTTTGGAGTTGATGGTGGGGAGGCCACGCTCAGATTCCTGACCTTGTTAAAACTGTTCCTCAGGCTGTCCCTCCTGCTCTCCGAGGTGCTGCTGGTGTCCTTGGATGTGAATGAGTCTGGGTGACAGAGGCCAGTCTTCCGACAGCAGCAGCGCAGAAGCTCAGCAATAGCCTTCCTCATATCACTGCTTCCCAGGGCGTAGATGATGGGGTTCAGGCCGGAGTGTAAGACAGCCAGGGAGATGCAAATGTCAGATGCAAAAGTAGGCGCACACTGGCGGGAGCTACAGGAGGAATCCACCAGTAACAGCATGAACAGTGGCCCCCAGCACAGCATGAAGACTCCAACTATAGTGATGACAGTTTTAAGCAGATCCCAAGAACGTTTGCGACTGCGCTGGGTGCCCAGCTGTGCACTTTTATGTACATGGCAGTAGATGGCACCATAGAGCCCGCCGATAGCGATGAGGATGAGGAAGAAGATGATGAGAGAGAAAACGATGTAGTACTTGGAGTAGAGAGGGAGCAGGGTGGAGCATTGGTCCAGGCTACACACACAGTTCCAGCCCAACAAGGGGAGAAAGCCAATCACCATTGCCAAAATCCAGCAGAGTGCCACCAAGCCGTAGATCCTATAGTAGGTCTTCCTCGCTGACTTCTGGGGCAGTGGCTTTATCATGGTGGTGTAACGCTCCACAGCAATCAGCAACAAACTGAATATGGATGCAGCCAGGGCCACAAACAGCATCCCTTCCCTGAAGAGCCACAGAGCAGGGGTGAGGCGAAACGTCTGGCTGCCAGACATACAGATGTTGACCAGGTAGGCAGCGCCGGTGATGAGGTCACTGAGGGTGATGTTGGCAATGCAGACGTAAACCCAGCGTTGGCTGTGACGGATGCGGGAGATGACGGCCACCAGCACCAAGAGATTCTCCAGAATGATGAAAATACTGATGAAGAGGAAGACGGTCTCAGACACACTGATGTGCTTCTGTGAGTTTGAGATGGTCCTGTTCTGCAGGCGGCCGGTGTGGTTGTAATGCCGCAGGATCACATGGTTGATCGCGTTGGCTGCAGTGGTGGCGTTGGATATGGTGGTGTTGCTGGGGTAACTGGGTAAGTGGTACAATTGGGGGCAAGAGGAGGAGGAGGTGAGGTAGGAGAAGACACTCATAGCAGCAGCTGTGCTGGTCAAAATAGAGGCTTTGGGTGGGAACAGGCTAAAACCGAGCCGGTACGAACTGCGCTGGAATTAGTGTGGAACTCCTGTTATCAAACAGGCTATCATCACACTCTAACCACTGGAGCGCTGCCTGTGCACAACACACACACACACCTGAGAAGACAAAAGAATTAAGAACAATTTCAATACAGCATCTATGTGAAAATACAATACAATTCCTCTTTCTCACGACTGTACTGTGTGCTTCCTCATTACGGTGCTTCAATCAATTTAAAAGGCATCATTTAAATGCCTCCACAATGTGCCGCAACACTCCCCCTCTCTGTGGTTAACACAGGGCGAGTGAGCAGCTGCAGAGGGCATTTAAATCACCACGTGAAGGAACTGCACACATCGTTTTCTTCCAAGAACGCTTGAAAATGCTTTTATAAGATTCCCAAAGAACACTGAATGATTTACCAGGCTATAATAATATTTAGAATAGTGGTAAATAATTGCAAAAATGGCAAAAACATACTTTTCCCTTTTCTCTTAAAACTATCAATCGAAATAAATAGAAAAAAAGTATTTTTTGGTTCAGTGTTATATTGTTAAATAAAAGCAGTTTAAAAAGTTTTTTTTTTAAATTCCACATACTTCATGTTGCACCTCAAGAGTTAAGTAGAAATGAGGCAATCTGTTCAAAACCTTTTATATTGCATTCTAATTGTATCCTATTATATGTTGATGAAATCCATTAAATGTTATGATCATAGCTGTAGAGTGATGTGAATGCTGTGCAGTGGGGAGTACTTACTCTGGCTGCTGGTAGTGATGCTGATTGAGTGATTGAGCAGATTTTTGCAGCCGAATTTTGATGGGGAAGTAAGCCAAAGAAGGTTGTGACACACCACACCCAGAACACACACACCACACACACAAACACACTCACACAAACATGCAACACAGAGAGATTACTGTTAGATTACTGGAACTTTTGTTCCATCACCTTGAAAAGAGACAAAGAAACTGTGAGAATTGTACAGGTGCCTACAATGAAACAATTCCACAGTCTAAGAAGTCAACATTGTTGGACAAGCATCTTCTATCTATTTCACAAAATCTATTTTATTCTAACAGATGTTTAACCACCACTTTTCTGGTGCATCAAGATCATCATGTTTTCCCACGACCCCCATACAGATTTAGCAACACATCCAATCATAGCTGCCTTATGATGACTTATACAGGACGTGTCAAAGAAAGTTGTAAATGTTTTTTAAATGCAAAATAACTCAATGTGTTTTCAGGATATGTGGCAAGAATCTCACTTGCACTTACAAGACCATATGGCACCAAGCCAAAGGTGGGTTATTACAAAAACTCAAATTAGAGTTCATGTTTTTTCTAAATATTTCTCAGAAAGTAGAAAAACAGGAACTCCCAATCTCATGGAAAGGTGCCCCTCCCTGTTGATAGAGGGTTTCATCACACAGCTGTGGTTGTTGGTTTGAGTAGACAGGCCACAGTCACAGTATTCGTTACATACATGGCACACTTGACTTCAGCAAACTTCCAACACCAGCAGACCGCAACCACATGCCATAAGACAGGCAGTGGCATTGAGACCATGACACTTTCAAATCAACCATAAACACATAATATATTGAGAACCAGCATACGGGGCATCTTGCAAGCAACAGAAAGCGATGCCAGACCCCTAAATCAAGAGACCACTTTTTGAATATGAGCAAAACCAGAACTCGTGGCTGAATACATTTGCCCTTCGGAGTGGAGTGTTCAAAGACTTATGAGTGTATAGTTCAAGCTTTCAGCAGAGTATAGGCTCTAATTGTACCACTGCACTAAACTTTCCATTTATCAAATGCTTCAAAAGCATGCTAGTGTGGTCTGAAAAAATGTCAAAAGAAACGTTTGGGAAAATAAACTAAAATCATGCCCCGATGTTTCTCTGAGAAAATATTGTTCTTCGTGTGTAAAGAAAATGTTTTCGTTTTTTTTGTGGTAAGAAAAATTGCGAGTGGGTTTCATCTGTCATCTTCCTTCTATGTCCATCACAAAACTGTGGTTTTGCTCAACAGGTCTCCAGTTTGCATGGTTTCTCTGTTCAAGAGCAAGAAAGGACAGAAACCATACAAAGGTAACTGTGAGGCATTCACCATTGACCGTGCAATAGTATTGAGGCATGACATTACCGGGCCTTCCCTGTGAAACCAAAGTGTCTCATTTCTAACAGAACTTCTCCTTTTTAGTCCTGAGATGTAAAAAAAATAGACATGCATCACCAAATCACATAGTAAGAATTGTGATATAGGTTGTCGAATTAAATGATACCGTAGCGAGCTTTTTGTTGGAAATTAAATGTGGAAAAAGAAAAACAACTCAATTCACACCAAGCTATACTGCAACCTGAGGTGTAAACAACACCCACGACTGTTGAAAACGCCCTTACCCTGAAAATAAGACTTCAAACAGCACTATCACAAAATGGGTAGGCTTGTAACCACAAGTGTGTGTGAGTGTGTGTGAGTGTGTGTGTGTGTGTGAGTGTGTGTGAGTGAGTGTGTATGTGAGTGTGCGTGTGTGTGTGTATGTGTGTGAGTGTGAGTGTCCTCATGAACATACTAATTTCAAAGTGAGCCCTTTTTTACCAGTCATGAACACATGTAGAAGTCTGCAAGAGTTGACATTACAACAAGGCCAGAGTTTTCTGTTTTCTCAGTCTCAGTTGGTCTTTAGAGTATGACACTTACATATTTGCATTCCTAACAGTACTCCACTGATTTAGGTTTGCACTTATAATATTTGACGTATGATATTATTGGACTCATGATGGAGAATTAAAACAAAACAAACAGCATGAACATTGATGTAGCAGAACCAGAGATATCGTTCTATATTCCTTGTCAAAACCTGCCGCCTACATTACCCACAGTGCAACTCAACTGCCTACTGTTTGGTTCTTGAGCGGCCAGCTTCAAGCAGAAATGAGGAGCGGGGCTACAGAGGTCTGCTGACCTCACCTCAGTCTAACGCCACACCTCTGGATTGTTTTTTACTTTCTTGTAGTCTTCAGCTCCAACTGATGGTGACGCAAGTGACATCACTTGGAATACTTTATTAAATGTTATGCAGCTTCTTCTGGGGCCAAAAAAGGCTACACGCTCTAGAGCAGGGGTGTCCAACTCAATCACAAAATAAAAAATTAGGACTACATTGAGGGCCAAATAGGGTCAACATTTAATAAACAGGATAGAAGGGCTATTGGACAAAGTGCAAAAATAAACATTCTTTTATGCATATGTACCAGAGCCAGATGTTTGGCATCTTTTCTTGGCTGCCAGTTGATTAATGTCATGGGGTTAAGTTCTGTGCTGTGGAAACCCTCAAGATGGAGTGAAGGTGTGCATCAGTGAGACGACTCCTGTGTGGGTTTTTGTACATCTTCTGTTCTCTACTCTCTTCAAAAGCATGAAAATACATTAAAAAGTAGTAAAAATACAACAAAAAGAAAATAAGTATTACTCCCCGACAGGGAATTGAACCCCAGTCTGCCTCCGCGTGACAGGCAGAGATACTGTCCAGTATACTAACGAGGAGTAGCCTAAAACAGCACGTGACTTGATCTGACGACTCAATGGGCTGACACGGAGTAGCTAATGAATATTAAGTATGTGTGAAGTGTGTTTAAAAAAAAAAAAGTAGTTTGTAAAACGCTGCTTCACTGTGATGAAAAAAAGTCCAGTTGTGAAATAAAGAAATCCTGCTGACCTTTAAAAGAAAAACAGGGAGCCTCTAAAAATGTTACCTGATGTCTTTACTACATCTCAGAGGTAAATATTGTACTTTTTACTACATCTCAGAGGTACATATTGTACTTTTTACTACATCTCAGAGGTAAATATTGTACTTTTTACTGTAGAGAGTACCAGTTGGACTGAAAACCTGCAGAGTGTTGGCTCTGCATGGCATACACCCCTGTACCACTGCAGGGTTACTATTATTCTATTGTTCTATGATGGAGACAGTTAAAAGTGGGTGTGACACAACATCTACGGACAGGAATGTTTGATGGTGGTAACAGACACAAAGAGACTGAAAAAATAAACGCCAGTTCCAATCTCATGTTTGAGAGGGCATCCGTCACAATACAGAGCTTTTGTTTTATTATGGTGACACCATCTGGCCAATCAGTGCAATTAAACAACTTATTTCTTGTATGGTGTTGATCAGTCAACATCTGGTGGCCACAAAGCAGTATCACAATCATTTTCCTGTCAAGAAGAAAACATGGCGCATCACTGTTAGACCGCTTGAAGATGCTAAAAAGCTCACTGAAATCCTGAAATGTCACAAAATTGTATTTACAATAAATATGGACGGCTGACACAACTTAACTTAACATAAATTGGAATAAATCAATGTTTCTAATTCTTCGTAAACTGAAATGTAAATCCCAATTTCACCTCTGTATATTTCTTTGTTGGTTTTATATTGAACACACCAGGCTTGAGATTTCTAATTTCTTAATGTAAACTACATTTATTCCATTACAACAATTCACTCACTGTTTGAATATTGAGGAAGGTCTCCTACACATAAAAAGTATATGCAGTGAGCTAAACATTTCCAATAAAGGTGAAGTCACTGGTTAGTCTTTGAAGTTTTCATGACCAAGAGTTAGACCGTATGTGTTTCAATGAATTAGTACAGTATCGAAGAAACATTATGTTATATTATATTGTTGTTTCTGTGTTCTACTTTGTTGTCTTTAATGTCCTTGTTTTTATATTTGTGTTGTTTATTTGTATATTCTATGCATCTACGTTGAGAGCAACGTGAAAACCGGAGTCAAATTCCTTGTATGCATACGCATACATGGCCAATAAATCAGAACCAGAATCACCTTTATTGGCCATGTATGCGTACGCATGAATTTGATTCCGGTTTACACATTGCTCTCAACGCACATAGAGTATACAAATAAACAAGAAAAATATAAAAACAAGGACATTAAATACAACAAAGTAGAACAGAGAAACTAAGCATACACATTACGATGTACAATATATAAATATAAATATATATCGAAGAATATATATGAACATGAGAGCAACAACAATGACAATGGACAATGGATTTGGGATATTAGTGCAGAATGGAAGCTGATTCTGATTACCTCTGTTCTACTTTGTTGTCCTTGTTTTTATTTTTAATATTTTAATAATAAAGCTGATTCTGATTCTGAAATAACATGTATGTGTATCTGACTATTGTACCACCGCTATAATCCCACAGAGGGCGCTGTTCTGTCGTAAATGCTCACGAGCAACAGGGTGTCTTCATTGTGCAGAATCGGGCTCGTGCCTTTTTCCTCAACTTTTTTTTTTTTTTCACCGCCCAGGCTGCTTCTGTTATTTAGGCAGAGAGAGAGCGAGAGAGAGAGAAAGGAAGTAGCGACGAGCTAGCTGGTTAGCCGCTCTGAACCACACAGTCTGTCAGGGGGAAGAGTGGACTTCTGAACCCGTTTTATCTCAGAGACTGACCTTCTTTGTTCGACAGAAGTGCGCGGGACAATTCATGTAGGTTCGTTTTCTTCTCCAACGTTCACCCGGATTTAAAAATCTTCAAAACGGAGTCAACTCTCACGCTTTTGTGTGTCTGGGTCTCCACCGCTGTTAGCCGAGTCAGTCCTCGTTTCACCAAAAGGAGAACAGCACAAACTGAAGAGCTGAGACTGGGTTAGCCGTTTATTATTATTTTTGGTTGCAATCAAGGATTACACCAAGACAATGAGGAAAACAGCCGGTAAAGGTAACATTACGATAAATACTCATTTGTACGAGCTTGTTCTGTGCTCGTTAATATGTCAAAAATAA